TTGAGCGCTGTGTTTGAGTTAAACCCGGCCACAAACCACCTGAAGGAAGAAGGTCCCTCACGGGGCGGACGCTGGAGCCGTGGTCCAGGGCCAACGCTCTGCCGAAGGAGAGCGCCTGCTTGCAACCACCACTGCTGCAAGAGGAGGGGGTGCGCAGGCTGGCCGGGAAGCCTGGCGCGCTGGCAGGGATTGCAGAGGCTCAGGTTGCGCTAGTAAATAATTCAGCGAACATAGGTCTTTAATAAGTAAAAGAAACTCCAAACGCAGGGAGCAGAGTGAAACCTTGCGTTGGAGGTGTCGTCTTCCCCCAGCCTGGGGTCCTCACTGCTGTTAGGGGTGAACGTTACACCCGAGCCCGTTTGCATCTCTGAGCGTGGAGGGAAAAAGAAGTATGTCCAGGCTTTTGCAGCAATCCTGTTGCATTAAGCCTGTCCGAGCAGCCCCAATCCCCCGAGCCCGTCCCTTTGTGCATGCAGTCAGCGGGAGCAGATGGAAATAGCAGCATGCTCCCAGCTGCGGTGAAGACACAAACTGTTGTATGCGGGCCTCTGCGAGTGGGCAGAGAGAGAGAGATATATATAGCCAGACACACGTATGGATGATGCACTGCATGCACACCTCGCAGGCTGCTCCCAGCATCCCCATTACACCCGCGCGTAGCAGAAGCGCGTAACGTTTGCACCAACCGCAGCGGGTCAGCGCCTAGCCCCAGCCCTGCTGCTATGGGGCTGTTTCCTCAACACCCCTGTCGCCGTATCCACGCATCAAACGCTACACCCGGACCCTTGCCCACCTTCCTCCCAAGCACGCACGCAATGCCCCCCTGCCTGCCCACCAGAGCCGACCGGAAACGGGCACCGGGCAGCCCCAAAGCTGAGCGGAGGGAGGCTGACGGCCAGAGCACCTCGGCCGCTCCGGCTCCGTGCCGGCTCCATGGGCTGCTGGCCCGGAGCAGAGCCAAATAACAGGGTGGAGAGCAGAGACCACATCCCAGGGCCACGGAGAGAAACTTCCTTCTGGGGCGAGGGGGACAAGAGGATGGAGCAAAAAGCACCGAGGGGGAGTGATGGAGAGCGGGAGCACCATTCGGAGCCGGGCCGAAGAGAAAGGAGTCCCTCGAATGTTAAAAATAATGCAAGCGCCCGAGAGGCTGGTTCTCCCGCCCCAGGAAACATCGCTCTGTTTACAACACTTTCAAAATAACCCACCCTTTCCCGCAGCAGCCTCCCTGAAAACTGACCCCCATCGCCTCTTTCTCTCACACCAGATTTCCTCAGGTTTGTGCTTTTTATTGCTAGGATTCGGTACATGCCTAGCTCGAGGAGGGGGAGAGGGACAGCGAGGCTGCAGATGAGCCCTGGAGCAGAGGAGGCGGAAAGCGCGACGCTGACGTCCTGCTGCCCCGCAGCATGCCATCCCGGTGGCCCAGTCCATACCAGCTTCTGCTTCTGTGCCCATTTACGGGATGGGAAAGTCGAAGCAGCCTGCAAGGCAGTTCCCGGGGCTCCTCTTCCCACCGCACGCAGAGCCGAGGCAGCCCTGCCTAGGCTCGGCGCCGGACACCATGTGCACACGTAAGGTTTTTCCATCAGCTTCTTCTCCAACCTGAGAGGTGGAAAGAGGAGCTCGGGGAGATTCCTCTCCAAGTGCAGTGGCGGGATGGGAACCCTGGGGACAAGAGGAGGTTTATTCCCAAACCTGGCTGCTCTTCAGGGCACAGGGTCCACACTTTAAAAAAACGCAAACAGCTCTGCTTCTCCCCGCCTTGCCCCACAGCGGTGGGGCCATCGGCCAGGAGCAAAGGTCCCCTGTGGAGGCCGGGCGGCAGCAGGCGGTGGGAAACTCCCCTCTTTTCACAGCGCCGCGTCTCCCGCTGGTGACCATCCTGCCGAAGCAAAGGCCCCCGTGGGGCCACCCGTCACCGTGACCCGAGACTCGCAGATGCAGGCGGCGGCCATCCTCGCTGTCCACAGCCCTGGTGGGAGATGCCGGCCCCGGGACCCCTGGCCCAGACTTCTCGTCGGCCCCG